CGTACTGGACGACCATGGCGTCGGCGGCGCAGTCGGCCATGACGTAGCCAAAGCTGACAATGACCGAGAGCATGACAAACTTGCCGCCCTGATCCGGCGCGTCAAAGTTGTACCACTGGCGAAGTTCCGGAGTCATATTGACGCCGGTCGGCACCTTCTTGGGGCAAGGAATCTCACGCGCATCGCAGTACGGGTCCGGGAACGACGAGAACGTCATGATGCAGAGACAGACGGTTGCGATGGTCCAGCCGAGAATCATCCACGGCTTGCGGCGGTAACCCATGATGGGCACGCAGTCAGAGAGCATGCCGAAGAAGACCTTGAACGACCAGCCGAGGACGACGAGCACACCGTAGGCCGACACTTGGTAGCCTTCCATCTTCAAGTAGTTCTGGAAGACTGAGTACTGCATACCGGGCAGCATGCCGTAGAGAATGCCGATGGCAAAGTACTGCGAGAAGAGCGCGAGGGCCTCGCGGGAGACGAGCGAAAGCGCACCACCGGCGACGAGTGCGCCGTCTTCGAGCTCACCGGGCGTCTTGGCGTCGGCGTAGTCACCATCGACATCCTTGTCCTTGGTCGCCGATTGGATGTAGGAGACGCGCTCCTGGAGGTCCATTTGGCCGAGCTCCTTCTGAGTCGTGGCCATCTTGGTGTTCTTGGAGGCAAATCAAAAAGTGAGAAGGCGAACAGAGTTTGACGTCGGGACTGGGATTTTCGTCATCGCGCCCTTTTTATTTCGACGTTGGGTGCAATGCCAGCCGTTCGTTTCGTGCGGTGGTCGCAAAAGCCAGCTGGGATGGCCCGATTACACGATGACCCACGCCGGCCACCAACGATGGGTCCGTGTTTTCTTTGGCGCCACGCTACGCCCCATGGGTTCGCCCTCTCATCCTTCCCGCGCTAGGTCGAGCTACATCGGTACTCGAGGATGCATCGGGCACCCGAGAACTGCGACGAGAACTTTGATTCGCGTCCTTCGAGAGCAGCGACCGCTACAGTGGAGCGGCAATGTTGGGTCACCCATTTTATTTGCTTGGTCGCATGAGTGTCCAGCGTCTGCAGACGCCTTCACGAAGCGAAGCGTTGGCACACGGGAACCTACAGCACAGGAGTGTCGTCGGTGGATGGTCACTTGTTGAACCGCAAGAATCAGATGGCGCCAACTACTCAGATCACCGTGCATGCGCACGGGGCCCGACCCAAGTGCATACAAAAACAAGTATACGTTTTCGACTCCACATCAACTATACAAACCGCAAGTATAATGTTTCTAGGGCCCCGCTCGGAGAGCCCAGCACCTCGTCGTATCCGAG